AACCAACCTGTGCTTCCCTACCTCTAGGACTATAGTGTTTGTTAAGATAGAGCCCCATTAGTTTGAGTTCCTAAGTAACCCCCGCTGACCCGTGAGAGACATACACTGTGAGCTAGAAATAAGCCATTGTTTTAAGCCACTGAGATTCTCAAATTTTTGTTACCACAGCACAACCTAGCATACCCCAACTGATTCAGAAGCATAAAGACAAAAGAAACATTTCCCAAGGCCACACAGCTAAAAAGTATCTGGCTCCAGAGTCTGTACACCCAACCACTTGCTTTATGTTTCTTAATAATTAATAGCAATATCAATATAAAGAATAGTTTGTTATTAATGCATTGTAATTGGGGACCTATTTCTAGACATTATTATAAATACCTGTTCTTTTCTGAATGAACTGGCTCAGGAGAAAACCTTGCCATTCTCTGGCTTCTACTGCAACAATAGCCAGCAGCTACCAAGAACACCATTGGAGTTTTCAATGGAGGATACTGGACATGTCCCAGAGCAGCCGCAGGGGCATGGCCACTATGACTGCCAGAGAGCTTGGTTTGATCGCCACTCCCTCCACACATACACAGTATCTCATAGAATGTTTTAAATATCTATGGCCATTCAGTTAAGGGTAACTGGATTCTTGCTATCCTTCAGTCTTTCAGAGAGGGATGCCTCTCCTAATAATTGTTTTCCCATTAGCCCATCACCTTGTTTTCCCTTCCTTTGTCTTTCAACAATGAGAGAGACTTCAATGTGTTTGCAAGGTCTATTAGAAAGCATAGTACTACACTGGCATCTATGTAATGCCCCGGACGTAGTAAAATTCCCCAGAGTTGTGAAGGATGAGAGAACAAGTTCCCAGAGGAGAAGTCAGATGCTTCAGCCATTGTTCTGCCCAAGGAAAAGGAAAATGTTGTCAAGATAAAAGCAGAAGGAGCAAAGGCTTAGCAGTGATGAAAAGCCAAAAAGTTAAGTGAAAAAAGATTAGCCAGATCAACTGAACATAAATCCATAAAAGAGACCCAGTTTTTATGGTACACATTGAAATGCATTAAACTATAACTTCCTTCAATATTATTTATACATATCTCTACTCGACACTGCAGCCTGCTAAAATTGATTTTTTAATCAAACTTTTAAAAATATAAAGATAATGGAATTTATTTCCTTAACATAGTCAACAGGCCAAGTCAGAAAAATATACCTTGGGAAAACTCAATGAAATGCTACTCTTGGCTGCTTTCTAATTTCAATTGTATATGTGTGACCACCCTACAATGAAGTTCTTTTTGTACTTAAAGAGTCAAAACACTCTAGATGGAGTCCCAGACTTTATTTTATTTTATTTTATTTTTTTATCCTCACCCGAGGACATTCTTCCATTTTTTGTACAGATAGAGTGGGAGGGAGAGAGAGGAAGGGAGAGAGAGAGAAAAACATCGACGTGAAGGGACACATCGAGTGGCTGCCACCCGCACGACCAACCAGGGCCGGGGACAAACTGCAACCGAGGCACGTGCCCTTAGCGGGAACCGAACCCGGGACTCTCCAGACCGCAGGCCGACGCTCTAACCGCTGAGCCAAACTGGCCAGGGCTGGAGTCCCAGACTTTAAATGAATTCCATTTCATAGTACATTGTGTTTTATCAGTGATACAATATAAGCTCATATCTCTCTTCCAAGAGGAGATCTTAGAATTGTCACGAGTGAAACACTTCCAAAATGAGTGATAACTGAGTACAATAGGTTTGCGATGCAATGAAGTTGTCGTATTTTTTTTCTGGAAGACTTAAACAGGAGACATTCCTATTGTAAGATTTTAATATTATGTTAATAACCAAACAAAACTAATTTCTGAAGGAGATAATGGAGAAAAGACAGATGGAAGGAACTGTTCATGGGGGAGGGAGGGCCGAGACAGACCTATCTTGGTCCAGGGAAATCTGGAAAAGATACTGAAGACTGAGAGACAGGCATCATCATTCAACATGGCGGCCATGTAAGGAGTTGGATTTTGTGCTCAGTAGTGAAAGAGAAAGAAGGGGAGTGGGAAAGGAGGGGTATATTTGGACACTGGCATATGGTAACAGTGTGGGGAAATGCAAAAGATCTGCTAAGCTAGTCCCTACTGTGGACCCATGCATGGTGCTAAACTATGAATTAAAGAAAAACCTGAATGGGAGCTTCCAGGACTATCTTGATTTCAGCCTCCTGCTGGATTCTAAGTCCTAACCCCTGGCTTAGAAAATGTGTAGACTGTAATTACAATTCATATTTATTATATTATACAGCTATTCATCTTTGTCTCTGAAAACTTTTCTCCAGCTTCCCTGACATTTTTTTTTTTATCCTCACTGGAGGACATTTTTTCGTTTTTTTGTTCAGATAGAGTGGGAGGGAGAGAGAGAAAGAGAGAGACAGAGAAACATCAACATGAAAGGGATACATCAAGTGGTCACCACCGGCACGACCCATCCAGGACTGGGGACAAACTGCAACTGAGGTACATGCCCTTAGCGGCAATCGAACCTGGATCTCTCTGGACCATGTTCTAACCACTGAGCCAAACTGGCCAGGGCATTGCCACTTATTTATATCAGAAGAGTATAATACTGGATTTCAGAAAACATAAACTAAGGAATTTATTTTATAGTCTCAGCTCAATTTACTTTAACGCCAATGCCCCTTCCTACCATTCCATGCTGCCAACCCACCACTTACCTAAAGGCACATTTCTCATTTTTTTCAACTCCTCCCTTACTTGTTGGAAATTATATTGACATTAAATATTTTATCTACATGAACCCACATATTCAACCAATACTGATCAAGCTCTATTCTCCTCACCCACCTAGATAGTGGGGAGAACTCGTGTAAGTTTGCATGTAAGAGAATCTTTTCAATAGGCAACGCAGAATTTTATAGGTGAGCCCTGCCGTGTCCTACTAATTCAGTGACTATAGCTTACCAGTGTGGTTATTACTAATTCCACCAGTTGCAATGAAAATTGACTCTCAAGAGGAGGGGCATTTATTGGAAGACTTTGAGGAGCTCAGAAAATCAACAGGAAGGCAGGAGAACAAAGCAGGAATGAAGAGCTCCAAATCCTGATACAGAAATAAAGAAATCTTGGAGAGAAGAGGATCTTCTCAGAGGTACCATTGGAATAAACAGTCTCCATCTGAGTCCAGTCTCTTTGTCTCTCCACTAAAACTTCAAATTCCAAGGAGGTCATTTGTCCAGTATGTGCAGAAGGGGCACCTGATTAACAAGCCCACCAAACTGTGACTTGGATCTTTTGTCATTTATTATCTCATTTAATTCCCACTAAACCTGGGTGCAGATATTATGAGCACACTACATAACTTGGCTAAAGCCTCACAGATCTCAGACGATCTGCACACAGAGCCTGTACCCTCACCCCTGCTCTAGGCTGCCCTGACTCAGTCACCTGGACTGAATTTCACAGGAGGAAGGAGGTCAGGGTAATGGTTAGAACCACAGGCATAAGTTAAAATCTCAGCTCTGCCATTTACTAGCTGAAGGCAAGAAACTTAGACCTCCCTAGGCCTCAATTTTCTCATCTGTGAGATGAGAGAGATGCAATATCAGAAAAAACACGAGTTGTTTCAAGGTCACACAGTTATTGCACAGAGGAAAGGGAAAATGTATATCAGCTACTTAGCCATGAGTTCTTGTCACATGTTAAGTGCTGAATAATCAATGGCCATTATTAGCTATATGTCTGTCACCCCTTGTAGACTAATTCTGGAAGCCTAGGTATTCCTCTTTTGCTGTTTGAATCCTAGCACCTTTCTCAGTGACCAGAACATAGTAAGTCCACATAAATATCTGCTGAATGGAAAGCATTTGTATCAGGGTTCACACTGACACACTGTACTCCAGTGTTAGAATGAGCTCCTCTTTATATTAATGTGATAGCTCCTTCCTGCCTAGTAAGCAAACGATGTCTATTTTCCTCCACCCGCACCCCTTGCCCCTAGGCTGTCAATTCATGAGGTCAGGGTCTGTATCTCTTTTGTTCCCCATAGATCCCCAATGTCTAGCACACAGTAGGGCTTAACAGATATCTGTGAAGTGAATTTTTAAGCATTTTTGATACATTTTACAGATCACCTAGCATTTTCACACAAACGTGTGCAGCATCTCTCTGCAGAGCAGTTAAAGACACTGCAGATGACCTGGGTTCAAATTCCAGCTCCAGCCTTTACTAGCTGAGTGACCTTGAGTAATATATGTAACTTTTTAATGCCTCAGTTTTCTTACCTGTGAAATGGGAATAATAACAGTATCGGGTTGTTGTATTAAAATGTTAATTCGTATAAACCTTATGAAACAGTACCTGACACACAGTATGTGTTCTTTAAATGTCAGCAATGATTAATTCTGTTTGTGGCTGTTTTCCTCCTATCATACTGTCAAAAACAAATTATTCCAACTGCTTAAATCATTTCTCCTTTCATGTAATAAAAAGTGGCATCTTTACTTAAAATTCTGAAATTAATTTTCAGCAGAGCAAATCATAATCTCAAGAAAATGACTTCCAAAGCTATTTGCAAAAATAAATGTATTTATAAAGTCTGTTCTTAAAATAAAAATAATTCTAAATGGCTCAAGATAGTCTATAGCTTAAGGCTCTTCTGAATCACTTGCATCGGGACCACATTTGACCTTATTCTTTTCCCAAACAGGAACAGCTATACTGACTTGACCAAAAGGGTTCATGTGCATAAATGCACATGCACAAACACCAGGCAACAGTACTGGGTTCTGCTGTCCTCTGCAAACCTCCTTGCCCTCTTAGGGCAAATAGCATGTCAATCCCAGTATTTATCTCGTAGAGCATGAGCCTGGTGATTAGGCCACACATTACTGAAAAATGCAAAGCACTGTATCTAACTGCTGATGCTTCTCTACACTCTGGAGAGATGAGGAGGAGAAAAGCAAAGGAAAAGGGGGCACCTGGGCATTTCACTTACCTTCAATACTGTAATGTTCCAAGCAAAGCTCTCGGTTGCCTTGTTGAGTTTTCTTCCTTTCAAGCCTTCCTTTGCCCCCAGATTATGAAGTTCCTCATGGAACTCCATCCCTTGGAAAAGAGAACATGTAAGAATTCTTAGTATATTCTGAAGAAAAATAGGCATTTTATGAAAGTGTTATGAATAAAAATATAATTTCCCATTCGTATCTTCCTCTTATAATCTCTAAATCCCTAAATTAAATTTTCCTTCCTAGTCTGTTGATCCCCACTAAATGGTTATTCTTAGGGGAAATCTAACAATAATCAATGCATTAGACTAAGTTATATTTTAAACAGCCAGGAGCCATAGACAAAGACATAGGAAGGTAAGAAGCAAATTCTTCCAACAGGTTACATACATCTTGTTTGTCCTCTGCCTGGTTTTTATATGAAATGGTATAATGTGTGGAGGGCAACCATATGTGATGGATGCAAATATCTCTCTTTTCCTATGAACCATCCATGTGGCTTCACAGTAGGCCCTGGAGCCCACATCACTAACAATGTTAATTAATAAATGTTGAATATAAATAAAAAGATTCCTGGAAACACCCAAATGTTTCAGATTTGAGGACGACCTTGAAGTGATTTTTAGCTCAACCATTCTTGCAAGCTTGAACACTACAAAAACATCACCACGATCTGTTCCTTCAGCCTCTATCTTAGAACCTCAAGGAACGGACAGCTCATTCCATCTTTGAAAAGCTATGACCAATACCCAGCCAAAGACCCCTCTTCCCTGGAATTTTAATTCATTCCTTGGTGCTGGCTAGACCCAGACCAGCAGGTCTAATCTCGTTTCCACAGAGCAGCCCTTTAAATATTTTAAGAAAGATATTAAAGTCCACTAGAGTCTCCTCTTTTCCAGATTAGACATTCTAACATCTTTCCACTTACTAATACTGTCCTTCATTTAAGGACGACATCCAGGCAGGGCGACTGCATTGCATAACTTCCCAGAGTGAAGCTTGCAGAGACCTGCGACCAGGCACATCTATCAAAATGGGCTTGAAGCAGCCCACACGAGGGAGGGATGGACCACCCCTACTTGTTCCAGCTACTCTGCTTTTATTAATGCAGCCTAAAACCATATCAACTTTCCTGGTGCTAACATCTCAAACACAGCACATGGTAAGAGCGTGACTGTGGAGCCTGGGCTAGCACTGGCTCCACCACTTACCAGGTACGTGAGCAACCGCAAGTCTGAAACACCACGATTCAGTTTCTTATTGGTAAAACGGTGATAACAGGAATGTTTACCTCGAAGGATTGTGGTGAGGATTAAATGAGTCAGTACCTATAAAGCTCTCAGAGCAGTGCCTGGCACACAGGAGCATTATATAACTATGTGGTAGTATTATCTTTGTGCTTCCTGTCAACTGGAACATGTAAGCCTGCTGGTCAGTCAGTAAGGGGCGCCATTTTTAAAGTTCAGTCTGGGTTCAAAGGTCAGCTTTACCATGTTTTAATATGGGATGTTAGGTACTTCACTCAATTTCTCAGAATCTCAGATGCCTCGTCTGTAGATTGGATATAATGATGATTACCTTGCAGAGTTGTTATGAGGTCTAAGTAATATAATATAGTGATTAGTGTATTATACCCATATATATTAAGCAATTGTCATTATTGTCCTCATTCTCATCATAACCATTATTGAGTGTGTGGATCAAGGAGACATGGATCCAAAAAAATGAAAGTACAGGGTTTGAATAAAAATAAACATAAATAGAGGTGTGTCCCCACAGATATGTAACCCATCCCATCCTCAAAAGAAGAACATTCTAAAATGAGGACCAGCAAATGAGGCAAAAACCTGGAAGATTAAAAGGATCATGTTTCAAATTGTAAAAATAAACTGGTTCCTAAGAGGCAATACAGAACCATAGAGTAGTAAAAGGTTTTGATAGGCTCCCAAACCACAAAAGCAGATTCAGAAATCCTCACCTGTCCAGAAATCTTCAGACGTCATCCCCACATGTATACACTCTGTACTAAACAGACTTAACTGTAGCTCAAAGTACAAACTACGCCATGAAATATTTGCATTTTAAAAGAACACAAACATTTTTTAAAAATCTGCCAAGAATTATCATTATGAGTTCTAAACAAAACAGTGGCAGCAGGGTGACGTGGGAGGCGATTACCTGCGTTCTGGCACTGCACAATCTTTTCCTGGACTGTGTCAGCCATTTCTATGAGAAACCGGCTCTCTTGAATCATCTGTCACAAAACAAACATCAAAAAGGTGGTTGTCAGAAATCCTTAAACTGGCTCATTGGAAAGAGTACATACGGAAAGACCTACATGATATGGCCAGCAATGGGGAGCCATGGTCTTAACCACAAGAAACGGGAGAAGGGAAGGTCATCTCTGCTCCAACTCTCACCCACTCTAACACTACCGCTAGAGCCACCTACCTTGATTTCTCTACTTATGTAACATGCCTCTCACACAATGAGTGCAAAACAAGTAACTGCTGAAAAAATGCATACACATTCTTTAAGTCCCAGATGGCATTCATGAATATATCTTTTTCCACTCCCTCATCCCAGAAGTTATTACAACATCAGGGAAAGTGGCATTAAAACAATAGCAATAGGAATCAGAAGAGGAAATAGCCTAGTGATGAGCTAAAGGACTACAAAACACATAAATGAAGTTGTCAGCCTGGATTTGGGTGGCCTAAAGATGGCAAAGGTCGCCATCCCTCTAGAAAGGCTCCACCTCCATTGGTAATAATGAGGAGTAGGTCAGGTCTCAGAGCTACCAACTCAACAGAGCTTGTAGGTACCAACACTGAGGTGGTTGTCCCTACCCTCCATATTTGGGTAGAAAGTAAATACGTCTAAGAGATCATTAATATACTGAGTGAAGTAGGGGAAATAAGATAACTGTTGGAGAGATGGAGAAAATAAAAATCTGTATGTGAAGACAGGGAAAGATGATAGTAGGTAAAAAAGTTTGATCAGAAAGAGTAAGGGACTGGGGCCCTTTTGAAGAAATTATTAAAGAAAGTCAACGAATAGGCAAACTAACACTTCCTGAATTTCCAGCCACTCTTCTCTTCTCAATAAATGTTGTCCCATTTCATCTGACTATTCCATGTTTCTCAGTCTGGTTCAATATTCTCAAGGGAGTTAATTCAAAGCAGAATTCAAAGTGAACATAAAAGGTCTTAAGTAAGACACTTTTCATGTCAAATGCTGTTGAACAGACTGTAGTCTTGTATAATCACTTCCAAATATAAAGTGGTTTATGATTACAAGTTTTCAAATAGAAAAGAACATTGAATCACAAATTTTCAGTGCCTAACAACTCCATAGAAGTAAAATTCTATCCTTCATTCATTTAACAAATATCTATTAAGCAGCCACTATGTGTAAGCACTTTGGAAAATACAAGAGATGTGATGCATCGATGAGAAAAAGACACATCACTATCTCCATGGAGCTCAGAGTCTAAAGGGAAGTCGACTCAAATGAATAAAATATGATAATCAATTCAACCAAACGGAATTCATTTAATCATATTTTCTGTTCAGAGTGATTAGTCTCAAGTTACTTATTTGAAGGACAAAATTGATTGTCAAAACCATAAAACCAGACTCGTAAGAAGGACCCAACTGAGTCAAACTTTTTAACTGCAGTAGTTAACTCTTTCGACTCCCAACAAAAAGTAGAACGCTTGTGAACAACAATATATCAAGTGGTTAATAGCAGCGTGAGTTACCACAGCTTCCATGTGAATGAAATTTATAGGCAGAGAAAAATTTAATATAAAGGCAATTTGATTTAGTCTTTTCTAAGCTTAGCATCTACACCTGTAACATCAATTGAGTTTCTATAATGTTTTCAAAAGTTATCAGAGGTTCCAATTACTTAAGCAGCAGACAAGATGTTTTCATAAAATTCAAGCATGGGAAACATTAATTTTTACAGCTGCATAATATTCCATTGTGTAAATGTACACAGCTTTTTTATCCACTCATCTACTGATGGACACTTGGGCTGTTTCCAGATCTCAGCTATTGTAAATAGCACTGCTATGAACATAGGGGTACATATATTTTTTCTGATTGTGTTTTGGGATGTTCAGAATATATTCCTAAAAGTGAAATAACTAAGTCAAATGGCAGTTCCATTTTTAATTTTGGGGGGGAGATTCCATACTCTTTCCTACCAGTCTGCATTCCTACCAGCAGTGTACTAGGGTTCCCTTTTCTCTAAATCCTCACCAGCACTGTTGCTTGCAAAGTGGAAATAGAGGGATCATACCTCAACATAATAAAGGCCATAATGACAAACCTACAGTCAACATCACACAATGGGCAAAAACTAAAAGTGCTTCCCAAAAACTAAAAGCATTTTCTCACAGAAAACCCTAAAGACTCCACCAAAAACTACAGACTTAATAAATGAATTTGGCAAAGTAGCAGGATACAAAATTAACATCCAGAAATCAATTGCATTCTTATACACCAATAATAAACACTCAGAATGAGAAACTAAAAAAATCCTATTTACCATTGCAACAACAAAAAATTAAAATAACTAGGAATAAACTTAACTAAGGAGGTAAAAGACCTGTTCTCAGAAAACTACAGGACATTAAAAAAGGAAATAGAGGAAGATATAAGCAAGTTGAAGCATATACCGTGTTCATGGATTGGAAGAATTAACATCATTGAAATGTCCATACTACCTAAAGCAATCTATAGATTCAATGCAATCCCTATTAAAATACCAACAGCATATTTCACAGATCTAGAACAAATATTCCAAAATTGGTATGGAACCAAAAAAGACCCCGAATAGCCACAGAAATCTTGAGAAAGAAGAATAAAGTAGGAGGGATCATAATAACGGGTATCAAATTATACTTTTGGGGAGGTTTTTGAAAGGTGTTTCAATTTTCTTACTGTTGATTGGTCTATTTAAATTTTCCAGTTCTTAAGGTGGGCTGATGATCAAAATAGACCCAAAGACATAGAAAGAAGTATGGTTCAGAGTGACAAACTTCAGAGTATGGGGGCAGGGGGATGGATGAGATGAACCAAAGAACTTCTATATACGTATGCATAACCAACGGATGTAGACAACAAAGCTAAAGGGGGGGGGGGGAGGGATGGAGAGGAGGGTGTCTAGGGGGGAAAATGTAGAAACATCTGTAACAAAAATAAATTAATAAAAATTGGAAAAACGTTTTTCCCAGTTCTTTGTGATTCAGACAAGGAAGATTATATATTTCTAGGAACTTATTCATTTCTTCTAGGTTACTGAATTTGGTAGCATATAGTATTTCATAGTATTGTTGTATGATCCTTGTATATCTGTGATGTCTATGGTAACTTCTCCTCTTTCAAGTTTTATTTTGTTTATTTGAGTCTTTTCTTTTTTTACCCTAGTTAGCTACAGTGCCCAAGACATGATTTAAAAATATGTGGTATGCCCTGGCTGGTTTAGCTCTGCAGTTAGAGTGTTGGCCTGTGGAGTGACGGTCACAGGTTCGATTCCCATCAAGGGCACGTACCTGGGTTGCAGGTTCAATCCCCGGCCCTGGTCATGGTCATGCAGGAGGCAACCAGTCAATGTTTCTCTCTCACATCAATGTTTCTCTCTCTCTCTCTCTTTCCCTTCCACTCTTCCTCAAACAAATCAATGGAAAAAGATCCTTGGGTGAGAATTAACAACAAAAAAAAAAGAAAGAAAGAAAAATCTGGTACATATATACAATGGAATACTACTCAGCCATAAGATGAAATACTGCCATTTGTGACAACGTGGATGGACCTTGAGAATATCATGCTGAGCGAAATAAGTCAGGCAGAAAAAATTAAGAACTATATGACTTCATCCATATGTGGGATATGAAACTGAAAGCAACAAACAAGACAAACAAACAAAAACTCATAGACATAAACAGCAGTATAGTGGATAGCAGAGGGAAGCAGGATGGGGGGAGTAAAGGGTAAAGGGGTCAAATACATGGTGATAGAAGATGATTTGACTTTGGGTGGTAGGTACACAACACAATATACAGATCATGTATCACAGAATTGTACACTTGAAATCTATATAATCTTATTAACCAATGTTGCCAATGAATTTAATAAAATATAAATAAATACAAAGATGAAGCTAATACTGAAAAAAAGAAGAAAGAAAGAAAGAAAAGAAACTAAGACTTATAGGAGTTGAGATTCTTGACCTAAAAAACAGAAGTAATTCATGCTCAAGCTAAAATTAAAATACCAGTTTCCTGGCATCCCTATTACTTTCATGAAAAAATAGCACTCATCTATTTTTGTCTGGCCTGGTCATGCTCCACATGAGAACACATGCCTTCACATACATGCAATCTTTCCAGTCTGAAATGTAGCATTCCAAAATCACTTGGCCCAGCCTGTCAGAAAAAAAAACAAAAGGGCACGCTCATAACTAATCCATTTCAACTAGATTCAAACATACTCTTTTTAAGGAACATTTTTTTAAAGAAATAAGATCTATAATTTCCTTTGATAATATCCTTACTGACATATTATATTCATTTCTCTTGATTTTGCTCTAAGTAGAGAATATATGATACCATTCTCTGATTAAAAAAACAAAACCTCTTGTAGAGGTTTTGTAATTTGTAGAGCCGTTTTCTTTGTAGTATTGTGCTAAGTGTCTTCTCCTGTTAAGAACAAAAAGAATACAGTTCCTGCATCCAAAAACTCTTTGTAACAATTTGAGAAGGAAGTGTCCTCTTCTTTCAATCCTCCTCCCCGCTGCTTCCTTCAGGAACCGGTTCCTAATGACTCCTGCTTTTCCTCTTCAACCTCCACCTCTCTCCTGGCTTATTCCCTTCTCTCATAGTCAAATCCTACCAAGCCTCAAAGCTCACTTCAGTGCCCCCTCTTCCACTAGAATCCTGATTCTACCTTCCCTCCCTATTTTACCTCCAAATTCCCAGAACATTCTATTTTTTTAGTCTGTTTGTAATTTTTTTCTATCTTAAATTACAGTTAATTGTTTACTTATATTATCTCCCACCACTCACTTCTTCAGTAAATGGTAATTCTGGTAGTGCAGGGACCCTATCTTATTCACTTTTACATCCCCAGATTCATCTATCCATTTATATAATCACTTTTTTCCTACTTTACTTTGTGATACTTATTTCCCCTACACATCTATTGCCCATACGTGTATGCACAATAAAATATTTTATGTATGATT